TAGGTTCCATCGTATCAATAAATAGGTGTCCGCCACCTTCTTTGTTTCTAGATTTTATGGCAGGGCTACAGGAAAGAATAATATTCACATGAGATATGAAGGCATTTTTGGAAAATTTGTAACATGTCAGGTTGTATACAGAATCACGGAGAGAATGGGAAATGTACTTTGAAGTAGAGTGGCAGGAAGATTTTTGAATTTGGGAATTTTGTGGGATTTTCAAAAAAAGTAGTGTTGGAGTATAGAGAACAAGAAAAAAGTCAAATAGAAGTGGAGTAAGCAAAAGTGTGAAAAATGGAATAATTACAATTTCAAGATGGTCACATTTAATTATTAGACAAACAAAATGGGAAAAAAAACTCTACTATGAAATACTATTAATTTCAGCAGTATCTGTTTTTTTTTTAATCCAAGAGCTACAAATGTCTTGAACTAATTTAGAAATAAGTTCATGTCACTTATGCAAATAACAGGAAAATTAAAGTAACTCCACTTATTCCCTTTATATTACAAGTCAGGGACATAAGGAGGTAATTACAGTCAACATTCAGTTTGTTTTATGTACTTTTTATCTCTACTATTTAAGGTAATAGATTTGAATAAGACCACACTTCCTGAATTACTTAATTAAACATTTCTTTTTAATTTCATGAAGTGCATTTTAAAAGTCCTGACAAGTTTCGTCTATAGATATTAACTTTAAAAGAGCCATTCCCTTTGGTTTGTAAGAGGACAATTTTTAAAAAAACATTAAGCCTCTTTTTAAAATACATGACTCTTCGAACTTGCAAAACATAGTATTGATGTCATTGTTAGATACTGCATCTTTTATACCTTATAAGCTGTAATCCTATTCTTTGAGAGTTTTCCTATAAGAGGGACAGAAATATACTCTTCATTTGTAAGCAGTGATGCATGACTGACATTGGAATTCCAGTAATGCCTGTAATGAAATGAAGAAAAGTGGGGCTGGGTTTCCTATTAAAAGCATGGAGCCCATTAACTAAAGCATGTGCGATGGTTATCATTTGATACTGGGAGAACTTGGCTTTTTAAGGGTGGCAGTTTTGAATTAAAGATTGGTCAGATAGGTTATCTGCTCAAGTGCGAGTATCATTAGGAGTTATATTGGTAGCAAAACGACATTATTTAAATAGTTAAATAAAACCAAGGAAAGTTTATCTGTACCTATAATAAGGTATTCTCCTCATCTCTTTGCCTCTGGAAGGGTTCAGTGGTGTTTGTCGAACAAAGTAGAAAATAAATGGGAACTCCAGAATGAGAATAAAGCACAAAATGAAGCGCTTAACTAGGTGAACAAGGGATACATATTTAGCTGAAGGCAATGAAACCCTTAACAAAAGTTGATAGTGGACTTTTCACCAAATTTAATGATTGCATATTCCTTTAAACTTAAAGCAATTAGGAGATGATGCTTTCCCAGTGAGTATGACAATTATCAAATCCCTTATTCTAAAACTAGTTTCTCATCTTTTTGGAATCATGGACTTCACTTGGGAATTTGGTGAACTCTGTGGATTTCCCCCAAAATTGACTTCATTGTGTTTAGAGACCCCTGAAGACTATTTGGGGATTCTGAAAAGGTGTTTTTCAATCCTGAGTAATACACAGCACTGTTTTAAATAGAAATGAATCCCCCTGTGTTGGAATACTGCATTTTGCAATCTTAAATGTTTGCAAACATAAAACCTGATTATTAACTTTTTGTACATCTACTCTTACATAACTGTAAAATAAAAACGGATTTATAAATTAAGTCATGTTACAAACTTGCAAAATTTAATCTAACAACAGCAGTATGACAGAAGTAATACTGAAATTAAATTGTCACTTGCAGAGTGAATTTGAGTTCAGAGTGCTGTTAATATCATATCCCACATGAATATTCTTACACCACTTTTCTCTACTTGAACTGCTTCATAACCCCCATTGTTCGGGATGCTGTCATGTAATATCAAGGTGAAATTCATTCTGCTTCTGTTAGTATTAGCCTGAAACAAAGTAGCCTTGTTGTTTGACACCAACCCAGTCAAAAGAGCTGAAATCACAGGACACTACCAAGGAGTAAAGCAGCATCCAGATGATCCAGACTCAGCCTCCGTTATTTTTATTATAGATCTTCATGGAAATGAAGACAAAAAACTTTAAAACAAAACAACTTCTCATGAGAACGTTCAGGTTTTTCAGTGTTATTAAAAGTTATCTAGGCTGTAAACATGAAATTAAGATGTCATTGGTTAATATAAATGCAAACTAGCCATATTGAGTCCTCCTGTCTGATAGGTATTATCCTGGGTTTCAGGACTGTAACAAAAATAAATAAAACAAGAGTCTTCATTATAAGACTTTGTTGTTCATTAATAGTATAGCATGAGGGAGAAAGATAATGAACAAATGATTTTAATATACGCTCAGCTAAATAGGAGAGGTAGGAGCTTCATTAAGAAATGCTTACGAAATACATGCTGATCTAGGTAGCTCTAGTGTGAGCTGGAGGAACCATTTAGCTAAGCTGTTAGTGCGTTTGCTATTGGGGGCGGTGAGGGGGGAGTTGGGGAACAAAACCATTTTCCAATTCTCTGTAGGCTCCTTGCTGTCGATATCTAATTATAATTTCTCATCTTGTGTCCCCATTTGTCATAATAGATAGATCCATTTTCTTAAAAATTCTTAATAAAACTTTCACCTGTTCTCTATTTTGAATAGAACATTTTAAGCCTGTATAAGCTTAAAGAAAAAGGACATGATTTGGATACATCTGGTTTTCAGCGCAGTAGTTCCATTGACGATGGCTGCTTTTTCTGCAGCCAGGTGATGGCAGTGGTTCAGCCTTTGAATTCTTGTTCTGTGAGCATTCATATGGAAGCTGCTGTTTCTCTTTATGTGTGAACACCGTGTCCCCAATGTAATACAACTTCTGTCAACTCCAGCTAATTTGCAATCTAATTTTCTTTACTGTTGTGTGAACATAGTCCCAGTATCTATCTTGAATTTTACTTTCATTTCATCACTGCCTAAAATTCAGACTTTTTTTTGTTTTTTTAATCAGCCCTAGGTAGATTTTGAGTTCTTTCTCACTTTCTAAGTTATATAAGATTTCCAACTTAATGTATTATTTAGTTTGTAAGAAAGATGCATGAAAGCATTGCAAGATATAAGATTGCTTATACCTTTAACATTTAATTTTACTAATTACAGGCAGTTGTGTCTCAGGCATAAGGGACATATAAATATAAATTCAGTATATTTGAAACATCTTTAAAATTGTAGTTATTAATATTGATTTTGAAGTTCCGTATTTAAAACATTTTTTTAAAAAGTAAAGTTTGAAGTTTTTAAGATGAACATTTGCAACGACATTTAATAGACATGGTCAGTAGATATTAAATAGCTTGATTTTAGTTTTGTATTCAGACTAAAATTTTTTTCTCTGAATTAGAGAAATAACTTCTAAAATGGGGCAAGGCTATAGCTGTAACCATTTGTGACTTAAATGAGATTTTCTAGTTATTTTGCTTGACACACTTATATGTAACTTATTTGGGGATAATGACAGCTGACATTTAGTGTGTTTACTGCGTACCAGGTACCATGTTAAATATCAGATATGTTATCTCTCTTTTCATTCTGCCATATGAGGTAATCACCAGTATTAACCTATTGTGCAGTTTAGAAAATGAGGTTTAGGAAGACTAAACCACCTGCTCAGGGTCGCATGCTTCATCAAGTGAGACATGAGGTGTCAGTTGTACTAAAGGACATTGTACTACTGACTCAGTGTGCCTGCCAGTGCAGCACTGTTGACCTTTGACCTGGGACTTCATTGCCACAACCAGACAGTTCTGTGCCCATCATTGTTTTATATTCCCCACGGTGACCTAATGATGGAATATAAAAGTTCACAGAGAAGAACAACAATGCTCAGAGAAAGAGGTAGACAGAAGGGGGTATAGGTAATGTCTGAATGGGTAGATTCAATATATACAAATATTTTGCAAGATACCAAAAGTGTGCAAAAAACCAATACGTGCAGCTCAGGGAGAAAAGTTTTTGGCTGGTGCCATTGAAGGGAAAGGAGAAAATGTGAGCTTCCCAAATCCATGATTGAGGATTGGTTTCCAGATGAAACAGGTCATAATGCATTACAAGGTAAACAAGAGTGGGCAGGTTGGCTTTTTAAATGAATCCATTCCCTCATTCAACAACGAGTGCCTACTATGTGCCAGAAACTATCCTGAGCCTGGGGATCCAGCTACACACCAACAGGAATAAGGACCCTGCCTGCGTGGATCTTACATTGTAGGATGCGTAGGGTTGCTTTTTGTGTTAAAATGTATGGCTACTTTATACCTAGCTATAAGCCACAAGATGCTTTATGAATTCTGCGGTGAGTCATTCTCTGAAGTGAATGACCACCTTCTTGCTATCTGGTCTGTGAGTTTCGGTGATTGCTCCAGGGTTTGTCTTCATGGGCACAGCAGCTGTATTCAGCCCTCAGCAGAAGTGACTGCTGTGCTTGGTTTCTCAGTCTGAATTTAATGAGTGACACCGATGAGTTGGAAATGGTTCAGATGAAACTAACAATAATGTAAACTTTGGGGGATTTTTTTTTTTTGTGGGGATTTGGGGTGGAGACTAGTGATAAGTTAAAGGAAGGATTCATTTTAGGAATACTTGTTCAGGCTTTGGCTGTCTTTGACAGTGGACATCTAAAAGTAGGATTTAAATTTTTAATTAATATCACTGCGGGATGATTTTAAGCATAGTTTCATCTGAATGAACGTGGGTTGAAACGAACTAAAATTTGCTCCGAAGGCCACTCCCAAGCCTGGGGTTAGAGGATCAAACAATTTTAATAGACTTCACCCTGACCTAATATTCTTTATGGAGGGATACTGCTTTACCAATCGTATGGCATAGCCCCTTCCCAGTTCCTTAAGATAATTCTGGAAACAACTGCGTTTCTGATCAATATCCAGGCAAACTCTTCCACATTGACTTCGGCTATATCTTGGGTCGGGATCCGAAGCCTCTTCCTCCTCCAATGAAGCTGAATAAAGAGATGGTGGAAGGAATGGGGGGCACGCAAAGTGAGCAGTACCAGGAGTTCCGGAAACAGTGTTACACAGCTTTTCTCCACCTTCGAAGGTAAGCTGATTTGCTTGACCTAGAGAATTTGGGTAAATTCATTTCATAGAGCAAGAAAAATAGAGTTGTTCAAATGTATACATTCTTTAGCATCATTCTTTTTCTGAATGACATAGGCAACAATATTTTTTAATGTACATTTGATATCTGTTTTGATAGTGAGATAGTAAAGGAAAAATAACTTCTTGTTTTCCCATTAATTGTCTGATTGCTAAATCTCACCAAACTTGAAGCTGGCATTACACAAAATTAGGCAGATGGAGGCTTCAAAACCAGTGGCTTGAAATCATTTTAATAAAATATGCTGTGTTCTTTGGCAGTGCTGGGATGGAGGAAAAGTTAAGTAGCTTCCTGTCATCAGATCTCCCTGAGGACAGCCTTGAGGGGTCATAATCACCAGCTGGGTTCTTTTCCTTCTGCCTAGCTGATTCCCACGTCTTTACCAGTGAAGCATTTAGCTTATTTAGGGTGATATCAATACAATCAGTTTTATTCCTTAGCACCTTTATCAGCCTTAGTTTTGTTTGTTTGGCAGGAGCATTTAGAAGTTTGTTGAATGAATGAAGAATAAACGGTTACAATGATTTTGTCTCTCTTTAGCACCTCATCAGTCATTCTACTAAAAAAAAAAAAAGATTGATTTTTCTCTGTCTCTTTTTCTTCCAATGCCACTATCTCTTTGCTTCCTTCATCCTAGTTTACTTAGGAATGAACATCATATATCGCCAGGAAAAAAAAGCCATGCTTGTTAAATTCAGGACATGGCTTTGATGATTAGTCAGAAATAACAGGATCATTTGTTTCTAATTCTGATTTCAACCTAACTATGCAAAGTGAATAAATATTCTTAGTCCAGCTGAAAATCCCAGCCCAGGAGACACTGTATGTTCTTCCAGATGAAAACATAACCTGCAGACAATGAGTTGCCTACGTATGTAGGCTCTATTTTGTCTGTCTCTGTAACCTTATTTACTCATATCATATAGTGGTTAGAACACAGACACTCAATGTATGTTCATTGAATGAGATACTCCTGTATTTGCATGAGAACCCCCAGAATTCCTGCTTCACATCTGTGGTGAGGCTGTGTTCCCAGGCAATGTCGATGCTGCTAGTTGCAGGAAAATGGCTGTCCTATATTTAATCAGGTTTAATCTTTGCATTGACTTAATAAGCCTTCATTGTTAACTCAGTCTCTACCACACACCACCAACATGCATTTTACATACGACCACACTATTTATCCTTTGGGTGGCAGAGTGGCTCAGTTTTACTTTCCAGAAATGCTAAAGGAATAATAAGTCAGTGTTCTTTTGATTTGCCTGGTGATGCAGAAGCAATTTCAGAGGATAGAGAGTTCCACTTTAATATCTGGGATTTTTAATTTAAAATGGTCAAAGCCTACGGAAAGCTAGATGGAACCATGGCGATCTCAGTGAGGAGGCAGACAGGATGATGTGAAATGATAACTAAAGAAATGTCAGAGGTACTCTATCTTATTGAAAGCAGAGGGAAAACACTGTGCTTTATAAACTGTCATTGATAATGGATTAGTAACAATTCAGTAGCAGGAGAAAACAGAGGCAGTTTATTAATGTGGAACCCAAGTTAACTTTCCTCACTATTAGGAAAAATCACAAAGAGATTAAATAATTTCATATTAATTCTTCATGAAAATTGTTTTGTTTTGTTTTTTTAATTCAGTGTGCTTCAATTAAGTTATCTGAACCCTAATATTATGATTAACATTTTTTTTAATGTTGTATTTTATTTATTTATTTATTTTCATTTTTAGCTGAGCCATCCTGCCACCTGTCGGCAGCTCAGCTCAGGCCAGGAATCGAACAGGCGACTCTGTTGCTCAGAGCTCGCACTCTTGGGCGACTGAGCCACTCGGCCGGCCCTTAATGCTGTATTTTAGAACATGATTCGGTTAGTAAAAATTCTCTTTAGGGCATAGGAATTAACCTGATAGTCAAAAGTTTGTTTGCCTACTCACCAAACAGCAGTGAATTTATTGATTGCACTGTCTTTCATCATTAACATCATTGTTTTCCCTCCTTGATGTAGTACACTTATTAGATAAAGCTTATTTTTATAGGATTCCAGTTTGATATTTGTTGCATGCAAGATAGAGCGATTGTATAGGACATAGACCTGTGAAACATATAGAACCTCACTTGTGGTAGTTAAATGCCTTTCTATTTTTAGTATTGAAGGTTTTTACTGAAAAATGTAGACCATCTTTACACGCAGTGGGTAGCATGGTGGTTGGTGTATGTGGGTAAGAGAAACAGTACATTTTCCTTGAACGCTATACTCAACCCACTCCCTTTTTAAAAGTCCGAATTATATCATGTCCATTCTTACATCTTCCTCTAGACTTGATTTTGCCTACTTTTCCCACTTTATCATTATTTTTTTAAAGTTAACCTTATAATGGTTTCAAAGATTGTTAGTAACCTTTAAATACATTTTTCTGGGTAGAATATTGAATGACTAATATATACTGTACGTTTTGGGTCACTTACACTTGGTCTGTCTTAAATGGAAAGTGCAGGTTAAAGGCAACAGACATAAAAAGATTAATACAGTTAAGGTAGTGAAAAATTATCCACAAAGTAACTGAATGGTTAAGCTTCTTATAGAATATTCTATTTTATATTTATATATCTGTTTTCCTTTGCTATAATAATAAAAAGATGAGTGGTTAAATTTGGATTAAATATAACCCCAAACAAATTTATATTTGCTTTTAAAAAAGAAACATATTATGCATAAAGGCAGACATTTTAACATGGATCCTGCCGGCCCGTTAGAATCACCTGGGGAACATTGGGAGGGAGGGACCATTCTGGGCCCCATCAGATTTAATCCCTCTGGGACTGGGCATTTCTGAAATATACCTTTCAAAACTGAGCCTTGTATTCCCCTTCCTGTGTTACCCTGTGTAAGACTCCTGAGATTCTGCTATGGCAAGATTGGGAGGAAATGTATATATTCAACAAAGCAGGGTATGAATAAGTGAGGGTTCATTGGAAAAGCATCTTTTTTTCATAACGTAATACATAGCAGCTGGCTGTGCTCTGCTGACACGTGGGTCTTTGCAGCCCTCTCAAGCGGATCCTTTATTTCCATATCCTACAGACCACAAAGCTTAGAGGAAGTCTTTGTGGCCATTCTTGCTCCCTGTTGCCACATCCAAACTATTTCTTTCTCTTGCTATTTCTTTTCTTTTTTCTTCAAGAAGGAAAGCATAGACAAACACACACCATGAGATCACACCATCAGATATCCTCCCCACTGCTAACCATCGTCTGCCCGTCTCCCTGTCGCTCTCATTCATTGAAAACTCGCATTGACTTCTTCACGTCTAATACTCTGACTTCAGCATCCACATGGGTGGTCCAGCCATGACCTGTCCTCTCAGGGTCGTGTCCTCCACATTTAGAGCCAATACTGGCCACTCCCTCGCATCAATACTAGTAAACTTAGCCCTCCAAAAATCTTAGTCCCAAGCTTTCTACTCCGACTAACAGCTATCCTTGCAGCTCTTTCTGGATGTGTCCTCATTTCTACAAGTCTTAAACCTCATTGATACTTCCAGCCTTGTCACCCTACTATCATTTGTAATTTACTTCATATTCTCACTTTTCTCCTTTCCCCATTGAATTTCATGGCTCTAAACTTTTTTTTTTTTTTTTTTTAGCTGAGCCATCCTGCCACCTGTTGGCAGCTCAGCGGCTGCTCAGCTCGGGCCTGGACTCGAAACGCTGTTGCCCAGAGCTCAAACTCTTGCGCGAGCTCTTAACCAACTGAGCCACTCGGCCGGCCCTTTATGACCCTAAACTCTTACTGCCTCTCCCTCTAAACTCTCTTAGGCATTTTTAACCCAGTCCTGTAACCTCTCCTGCTGAAACTCCAACTCTAATCAGAGCTGCCTGCCTTCCTATTTCATGTGTGCAGTGCAACAGCAGGTATATGTGACTGAAGAAAATCCAGCAGTCATGGTATCCTCGCCATTGGTTTTAAATCGGTGGTTCTCAACTGGCAGCTATGTCACTTCCCGCCCCAAAAGCACATTCTGCACTGCCTGGAGACTGTTCTGGTTGTCACACCAGGGTGAGTGCCACTGGTACCTAGTGGGGAGAGGCCAGGGATATTGCTAAACACGGCACTGCTGCCCTGTTTCTTCACGCTCCTTCACAGCACGTCGACTTGACAAAGGTCCATTCTCACTGTCTCCACTCCCTTGCCTCCTTTTGTTCCTTCAGCCTTCTCTAGTAAGGCTCCCAGGCCTCCTCTGCTATAGAAACTAATTGTGTCAAGATGAACAGCTCCTATTCCACAGTCAGTGGCCACTTTTGCTCCTAGCAGCTTCGGCTTAGTTGACCACATCTGTGTTTCTAAAAACCTTCCTTATATTTGGAGGAGTCCACGCTCCTGTTTTCTGTTTGCCTTACTGGCCACTCCCGCTTCTTTGGTGATGCCTGCCCTCTTCTGTCTGACCTCTACATAGCGAACTACCTAGAAATTCCATTAGCCGTATAAAGAGTTTAACTCTGAATCTTTTTTCCCCTTAAACTCTCTCCTTAAGCATTCTCATCTAATCTTGTGACTTTAAATAGGATCCAGATGCTAATGACGTTGAACTAATACCATTAGCTGTGATATCTCCTCTTGAGATTTAACTACCTACCTACTTGATATCTTTACTAAGACTCTAGTAGGCAGCGGAAACTCAGTATGTCCAAAATGGAATTCTTGATTCTCTGCCCCAAATCCTGTTCTTTCTTCATTGACTGTTTATCGTTTGGTAAATAACTATAGTTGCCTATTACTTAAGTAAGCTAAACCCTTGGTGACATTTAGTCTCTCTATGCTATCTCCCCAGCTCCATTGAAACCATCAGCAAGTGTCATCCACTCCATCTTCAGAATAAAGCCTGATGACCTTCCTCCATATTATTTCTTTTCCAACTGCACATCTGTGAAACAGTTCCCCCACCTCCCTTTTTATTCCCCACAAGATGGCCAGTGTGAGCTTTCAAAAATGCATTTCTGAGCATGTCACTCCACTCATTAAACTCAGTTGCTTCTCAGCAAATTTAGAATAAAATCACACCTTAGGATGACTCCTTTCCCATTCTATTAACCTTTGACCACTTTCCTGTTTTTCTTCATTTTTTAAATATTTTACCAGTCAACTAGATATGATATTATCTTCTTTTTTAAAAGATCTTATTGAGAAATTGGGGGAGAGGGACAGCCAAGTTGTTGTCCTTCAGTCTTAGTTGTGGAGGGCGCAGCTAGCTCAGCTCCAAATCCAGTCGCCATCTAGCCACCCGTCGGCAGCTCAAGACAGCTCAGCTCAAGGTGCCGTGTTCAATCTTAGTTGCGGGCAGGTGTAGCCCACTATCCCATCCGGGAGTCGAACCTGCCGGCAACCTTGTTGTTAGGAGCATGTGCTCTTACCAGCTGAGCCATCCTAACACCTGTTGGCAGCTCAGCTCAGGCACAGCTCACTGGCCCACCTGGGACTCTAACTGGCGACCCTGTTGCTCAGAGCTCACACTCTTAACCAACTGAGCCACTCGGCCAGCCCAGTATTATCTTCTTTATCAGTTTATTGTGTGAGCCCCCAGCCTCCTCCAGAATGTAAGCTTCATGAATGTGGGGACCTTGTTTGTTCAGTTCACCACTATATTCTTAGTGCCTAGAACAGTGGATAGAGTGAGTACTCAGTAAATATTTGTTGATTGAATGGATAAAATGATTATGAGTAGAAGAAGAGTAAGATCTGTGATATGCTTTTTATCAGTTCCCATAAGGAAACCAGTAACTTAAAGTTGAGTGAAAGCTATTAACTATTTTACTTTCTTTTTAAGACAATAAGTGAGTTAGGGCCTAATTTGATTAGAAGATTACGTTAAGGTAGAGGTTTTCATTTTAGTACCTCTTGATTTTCATGGGCAATATAAAATCCAAGAATGATGATAAAAGAGGTCATTTGAGATTGATATGGATACTTACATTTGTCTACAACTTCCATTATTACAGTTCAAGTATTAAATAGTTTTGATGTAACAGGTTGTGCTTTTTTATATTATGGATAGGTAGATGGCTGGAATACAGAATCCCAACCTCTCTCCCCAAGAGAAGACAAGGTGCTTGTGTTGACACTTTTACTGAGACCAGCTAAAAACCTTCGTTGTCTGACACCAAAGCTTTCTTTACTCACATCTGTCCCCAAAGTCAGACCTGAGTCTCATTTTACCACTGTAGAGCTAAGGGACCCTTGAGAGCATAACTGCCCAAGGAGAGCGTGTTCTGGAGCTGAGGGGGGATTGTGCCCAGCACATACCTGTGCACACCTTTCCCCACAAGGCCCCGCCTCCGAAAATGAGCATTTGGAATAGTAACATTCTTTCTCCTTGTCTGGAGGGAAATGAAAAGCCTGAGGACTGGCGAGGATACACCTTTAGTTCATGGAGGGGTCAGCTTAATCCAAAAATGATACTATTTAAATATCTTGCCCATTTTTGATACTGTAGAGTACTGGCTATTTTCTTCTTCACTTGGGGTTGCTGCTAGTCAAACCAGTTGCTGCAGTTTCTAAAATTGTGTGATTAGCGTGCCTGGGGGATGCTCAGGAATGATTAGTGGGATGGCAGCATTTCTCTTGCACATTTACCCGTGACACCCTGAAGTGACCTTAGAATGGCAGAGTCTTGTCATCCGTTCGCAAAGACAGATCTTCATTGTTTAGTAAAATGCTAATTAGGTAGGAAGTGATTCTCCTTAGACCCCTTCGAAAAGAATATACTTACTAAAAACTGAGAAGAATGTCATTCTTAGATGGTTACTCCAAAAATTTGCTCTATAGTGTGGGACCTAGAAATAGCATCATATCAGGACCCCAGAATAAGATCCATTTTCAGGGCATGCGTTTCACTGAGACAGCTGGTGACGAGCCCCACATTCTGTCCTCCATGGGAGTAATAGAAATTGTTATCAAGATCTAGCTACCAGTATTTCTAGGAGCATCCTTGTTACAAGAAAGAACTGCAAAACTCTTAACACATTGCTAATGTTTTTTTATTTTTTCTTTCCTGTTCTCCTTAGGTATTCTAATCTGATTTTGAACTTGTTTTCCTTGATGGTGGATGCAAACATTCCCGACATTGCTCTTGAACCAGATAAAACTGTGAAAAAGGTAATTTTTATACGTCCTTAGAATCGCAGCCTGCTTTGCATATATAAAAGATGTTAGGGTTTTAACAACCAATTTCCCCTTGTTGCCCTGGCCCTAGAGTGACGTAAATAAGACAGAGACCTCGCGTATAACTTTTTTTCATATTCCTCTCAAGCCCTCTGCAGCCATCGCTGACCCCGTCCCTGTTCATACACCCACAGTCACATGAATAGGTCATTGTATCTAGAGAGAAAGCTTTCTACCTCAGCCCTTCCTCTTAACTGTTCCTAGTAGGATACCTGATTCCTGGCACTCCCAGGCTAAGCATGCTAAGGATCAGAAACAAAAGATTGTAATAGCATATAGGAGAGAGCAGCCGTTCTCTATCCTTCTGATCCATACCTGTGGTTACAGGGGTTTCTTACTGTGTCAGGAGAGCAGAGACCTGCTTTTTAAGTCACACCTGCAAAGGGAAGAACAAAGGAAAGCCGTCATGGAGATGAATAATTATTAAGAACCACCTTACCTTGAACTCCAGTAAGAGGTGGGAGGAAGGGTAGCAGATTTGAAGATCTGTGTCCAGATTGATTTCTGAGTCTCTGATTCATTGAGGGGGGAGAGGGGTGTATGTGAAGTTCTTTATTTACCCAAAGATAACATAAGATGATCTTAAATATCAATATAATTACTGCTGAACTTCAAAGAAAGATACTATAGCTTTTTAACTTGTAAAAATATAAAGTAACTAAAGGGCAGCAGCAGTGTCAGATGGAATCGCTCTGGTGGTTGAAACTCATTGTCACCAAAAGCCCTGAGTTCTGACATAAGTGACCCAGTATTATTAGAAAGGTACCCCTGTGGACGGAGCCTTGTCATAGTCCCTTCCAGCTGCTATAGCAAAACGCCAGAGGCTGGGTGGCTTATAAACCACAGAAATTTATTTCTCATGGTTCTGGAGGCTGGAAATCTGAGACCAGGGTGCCAGCATGGTCACGTGAGGATCCTGTTCAGATCCCAGACTCCTTGTGTCCTCACATGGTGGAAGGAACTAGAGAGCTCTGTGGGTCTTTTATGAGGGCACTGATCCCAGTCATGAAGGGTTTACCCTCATGACCTCAGCACCTCCCCAAAGCTACACTTCCTCATACATCGCATGAGGCGTTCGTATTTCAGCATAGATTCGGGGGAGGCACAAATATTCAGACCATTGCAAACATGGATGAGGCTAATCTCTTTAACGTAATTTTTAAGTCTTTGGCAAGCAGTAAGAGGTATTTTCATTTAAATAATACATCGTTTTGCCATTTAAGAAAATTATGCTCGTATTAGGATTTCATTTATTTTACCCAGCAATCACTGTTTCAATAACCACCTCTCTCCCCCACCCCATATAAGAAATAAACTACTTATTGCACTAGTTTTGGATATGGCTTACTTTTGTCATTTTATTTATTTTTTTATCAACTAAAGCTTATTCATCAAGAAATATAATTGGTTGATGAAAATTTCCTTAGCTACTAGTATAATTGATGGCTGCCCCATATTTCAAATGTTGCTTTTTTTGTACATTGCTGTATTCAGGGCCTGTTTTGCTGTTTATTTTAAACCCGTGTATCTCTGTCATATGTTCACTTTTCCCAGAAACTATTTATGAAAATTCTAACAGTATTTGTCAAACTGGGCTGTCCAGTTTCTTCTGCCAATTAAGTTATGCTCTGTGGCTGGCTGAGTGGCTCAGTTGGTTAAGAGCTCACTCAAGAGTGCAAGCTCTGAGCAACAGGGTTGCTGGTTTGATTCCCAGCCCGAGCTGAGCTGCTATAGGTGGCAGGATGGCTCAACCAAAAAAAAAAGTCATGTTCTTGTTCTTATTAGATCTTTTTGTTACAGTTTGCATTCTCTTTTAGAAAAATAATTATTTTATTAAGGACAGTGTCCTTTTATTACCAGCTATTTTTTAACATATGAAGAAACCACTTTATGAAGAAAAAAAAGCATGTACATTAGTCATTTTTCTTTAGACTAGTACCACCTACCTGTTTATTCTAGTTTCAATTGAGTGAACCTTGACAAAAAGGTATTTCATCATATTTTTCCCCAAAAGTGTATTTCAGAAAAGGTGTCTTTGTTTTCTGCTGTTTTATCAAGAATGTAAAGTAATCAATTGCAGCATAAATTTGACATTAAAGTCATAATAATATTGGAAACTTATGCTGGAATGGGCTAAAATTTGCTTCATATTGACTGGCTTTTTAAACAAGTAGAAGTAGATTTTTATACTTTGATGAAATCATGCTTGCTGACATTACTTTGTAGTCTTACTATTTGGAAAATTTCTGCATTGACCTTATGAATGGAAGCCAGCTAGAGAAACAGAGTAGCACTGTTGAGAATGAAGTCTTGAGGGAAGTACAGATTTTAAATTATTTGAGTAATCATAACAACGTGCAAAAATATTTTCCTGTCTCTAGAACTTATTTAAATATATATCAAATTTGTTTCATTTTTTTGAAACTGATTATTTATATATGGAATATATGTTTTTGTTAATTGGATTTGCATATTTTTTAGAAAACACAATTGCCCCAAAATGTAAGATGGGTTCACAGTTTAAAAGGTAGTCCTTAATCACAAATATCAGTGAGGAACTGGCAGTGGGTCAGTGTGCCACTTGTGGCTTGGTGCTTTTAGAAGCTTGTTCAAAAGTTGTTTTAATCCTTTAATAATTTAGAGCACAGTTATCTCAGTAGTCTAATAAAAATAATACTGATAAAAGCACAGTGTTATAGTGCTAACATAACTAAAGCATACTTGATGGATTTCCAACAATGAGCAAACTGATTATAGTAGCTTTTTTCTTAATAATTTTTATATGAAATATTTAAGTCATAAAAAATATGATTGCTCATATAACACCCATTAACTACAACCCATATTTAACAAATATTAACATTTTGCCCTATTTGCTTTAAATCCTCTTGTATTAATGAATCAAAATACAGTTAGCATTGAATTGCACTCACCTGCATTCCTCTATCGCAAAATTTTTTTTCCCACAGCTTGAGTATATCCTTTCCATGAATATTTTTTATACTTCATTCATTCACCCAGCAGTATTTATTGAGGTGTTTATTATGTGCCAAATACTGTCTTAGTGTTTGAGTTACAGTAATACTAAACAAAACAAAATGTCCTGCCCTCATGAAACTTATCTTCTAGTAAGGGAAATAGACAAGAAACAAGATAAAGTAGGTAAAATACAGAGGATGCCAAAGAAATGTATACACATTTAAGAAAGGAAAAACCTGTATTAAAATTTTAATACTCAATATATATCGAGTATTCAACAAAAGATGAATGCCAGTCATGTGTATACATTTTTTGGGAAGCCCCGGTATATGGTATATTAATAGTGATCATTGTTACAGAGAAAAACAATAAGAGGGAAGAAATAAAATATTGGGTTGATAGTGGTGTTGGAAATTTTAGATTTGGTGGCCAGCAAAGGCCTCACTGACAAGGTGTGTGTCCGCCCTTTTTGAATAAATTAAAAGATATTTTATAAACCTGTAGTATGGAAATGAGACTTCTTAGTCAGATTCTGTAGAATGTACTAGTGAATGAAGAAATGTTAAAATATTTGGGACAGAAAACGTAGTCCCCAGCAAATCATTAACTTTGCTACTAGAGAGAGTGTGTTGAAAGAAGACAGTTATCTATATTTTCAAGGAATTTAAAACTTTTCTTACCCTTTTAATACATATGAATCTCTAGTCAGAAAAAAATAGGTTAAGAAAACGTAGAACTAGTTTAATAGATAAACGTGACTGCTTGACAAAGTTTTTTCATTATGTATTCTTTTAAATCAATAACAAAGACGAAACACTTTAAACTGGTAACAAGTTGTTCAAAGTAATTTAATGAGATAATACTCTTTTGTGTTGAAAAATTAAATGGATGTGTTTGCCTTTAAACTGATTTTTGTGTTGTTTTTTTTTTTTTGCTAAGCTGTAAAACAAAGAAATTATGTATTACAGGCAGCTAAAAATTATCTGAAGATCTATTTCAGATGGCCTGTAAAATTAAATTACCTTTGGTACCTAGAAAATTAATAAACATAGAATCCATAATATCCACTCCCATGGAATTTGACAATGTAATTTTTGTTTCTTTAATAATATTCATATGTCTAATTAGAAACAATTCTTTACAGCATTGATTCTCTTTTAGCAATAGTTGGATGGGGCTTCAGTTTTCATCTTTTTTTTTTAATTACTCTTTATATTAAACTGTTGTTTTTTTTTTGAAGTAAGGGATTGTTTTTTATTCTGGTGCAGCTCAAGTAATCAAATGAACACAGCAATAAAATAATATTAGATTAAAACTGTTCCTTTCACCTCTGTAACTGAAAATTGTTCTTTTGTTGTAATTACTTTTGTGATTAAATTATTGGGAAATGAATACAGGGAAAAACATTTTTTCTAATTCACATACTTTGAATAAGAAAAATTTAAAAGGGAATGTCTGCCTTTATTTTAATGAAAGTTACTATTATTTCAGACATGCTAAGCACTAAATTATTTTAAGCAAAAATGTTTCTGTGTTAATGAATGTTAAATTAATCTCAAAATGGTGTATTTTGAGCTTTCAAAGACAAAGGGTAAAAATTAGGTATAAATGAAATCATTGTACTCCTTATGAAAGACAATATAATTTCTCTGTAATTGCGTTGCAGTGTTTTGTTTGGGAAATCGCTCTGCACACCTATCAGTGTGGGTGGCTACAAGAAGAGTGTTCATCATAATGCTGTTCCAGACAAAATGTAATACTTAGTACTAAAGGGAGTGTTAGGGGTTGGGTTTGTGGGTGTGCGCGTGCACATAGAATTTGCAGTTTAAACGTTGTGCAACTCCAGTGTGGTCCAAGAACTTTAGGCTGAATCTATGGGATTTATTTTATTCAAATTCACATTTAGTAAATTGCCCCTTAGAAATAAAAGGAAGTCTCATATTTTCCTTTGGTGT